GATTTTTGAATACCATTCAGTCTTAATAGAACTCATTTTTTCTTTTGTTCCACTAGGCCAAAAACATTCTTGTTCTAAACAAGAAGAGAGCTTTTGAAAATTTTCAGGTTCAAAGATAGGGTACTGTGAGTAGCCTATTGTTCTTTAAGAAAAGAGCTAAAAGAGTTGTGAGACAACCACATTGCCTCAAAGCGAAAGGGTTTATTGACGAGAGTGACAACATGACACTTACAAGAGTGGATAAATAAAGGGTTATGATCTGAAAAATTAGTTTAGGGAGTACTTTAACGGGGCAATCTTGGAATTCAATAAGGAAAGGTGTATTGGCAAGTGCCCGATCTAGTCTTTCATAAAGGTAATTGAAATCCAATAAATGAGGCCCCTTCCAGGTGAATTTAAGACCATACTCCCCAGATCTGTGAAGGCACAGCTTTGAATTTGGTCTTGGAACCATCTTATTCTTGAACTAGAGCCGGTTGACCCACCAGTGCGCTTAAAGCTTGAAGAGATATCGTTAAAGTCCCCGAATATTAACCAAGGATCACTGATATTGGGGGCCATACAACGTAACTTATTCCACAGGGATTCATGAAAGTTGGAGTATGTTAGAAATTAGAGGAGCAATGGAAGTGAATGAATTATCTGTCTATTTGGATTAGGGAAACTTAAAGATCACTACTTCTCCAGGCAATAAGAATCCCACCCGAGGGTCCAATAGTGTAGAGAATATAATCGTGCTTCATTGTCACATCCAGTATCAGCTAAAGCTATAATATTAGGTTTAGGCCCATCAATGACCATTTTGTCACATTCCAAAAAAGAAGCTTGATAATCAAAATAACTTTAGATAGGTGGCCTGAACACATTAAAACCCAGATGAATATTGGGTTTCTGGAACCATGGAATTCAAAGATCAGTCACTCAATAGTGGGCCTCGCGGGGACGGCCCTATATCATCACCTGGGTCCAAGTTTTCTTTGCAAATGGGATTGAAGTGGTCCCATTTCAAACTAGAATAACGTTAACACCCTACAGAGTAAATGGGCTTAAGATCATAACATTTACTACCATTGGGCTTAACAATATGCAATAAAGATTCGTCATTTTTTCCAAAGTAGCAATGGAATTTCGTAAAATATCCACAGAGAATAATCATTCTATCATATCATCATTGAATTCAGTGATATCCTCCTTTGCTTGGAAGCATGGGCATTTTTCGTTTTGTTGAAGAGATTCGATATTATTTTATGATATCTGTGAATGATAACAAGCTTCTTTGCCCTAAAAAACGAAAAAGAAAAATAGAAAAAAAATAAAAGAAACGAAAAATAAAGAGGGTAGCATAGGCAATCTAGTACATGTGTGGTAAGTAGGAAACAAGCAAAATGTTGAGAAAACGACCCAAAAAAAAAAAAAACAAAGGAACCTGAATCATCCTTTGAAAGTTTTCAGATTTTAGTCCTTTATCCTTTATAGTTAAAGTGTCACCCATAGTTATGATAAATTCATATGTTAGAATTTAAAAACTTCAATGCTTAACCCAAATCTTAATTTCACTATGTATTAAGTTTTGTATATGCTCGCACTGGGACAGCTTGTTCATATGAACATGGTTTAAGCTTTGTTTTTTTCCCCCTACCAGCTGAAAAAAATTGTTAGTACTCCATCCTTTTCAAGTTACAGAATACTTTTAGATAAAATTACACATATCAATAAAAACTCATTAAATATAATTTATAACTTTATTTTTTAAAATAAAAAATATCAACTTGCAAAAATATCTTTAATTTAATACTCTATATGTGAAATAAATAGAGAATAGACTAAAAATTGTAATATTCAAAAAATATTATTAATAGAATCTTATTTTTATCAGAATGTCTTATATTTTATGATAGTGAATCTCTTTTAAAAATATCTTATAATTTATGATGGGATAGTGATTTTCACATCCTTGTGCCTTTTATTTTTACTCTTTTTTTTATATGTTTATTTTTTTTCCCTATTTGCTTGGGTTTAATTTTTTTTTTTTTAAGTCTGAGAGCCTAGGAAATCTTGAATATAATCTTTTGTTGTGGCCATCACCCTCTACTATCATGTTAAAGTTTTATATATGTTTGTGTTTATACTTTGTCAATACCTCCAAAATTATTTAAATTACTTGATTGAAATTAACATTAGCTTAATATATACCTTTTATCTTAGAATTACTTGACGTATATAAACTTCTATTCTCTAAACTTATGCGTGGAATTTGCATGCAAATTGTTAAAAAAAAAAATCTGAATTCTCTAATTGGATTAACATTCATACGAAAATGGATTCATAGTTATTTTTATTAAAAAATGCCTGTTAAAAAAAATTAATGACAGCGAAACTTAATATATTAAAGTCTCAAATGGATTCATAGTCTCTATATATATAATATATAAAACGAAGCATTGTTTATGTCGAAGTTCATACTAATGTCACAGATTTTGCCGTCTAAATTGAAGAGTGACTTTTTATGTTGATTATGAAAAATAACTTTAATTTCCACTAATTTTGACTAGAGCCTTCAATTGCCAGCCCTTTTAAGTTTGAAAAAAATTTAGGGTTGGGTTGCTATTTTAAAGTAAAAAAAAATAAAAGGGTCAGTCCTATTAAGCTTTTTTATAATTTTTTTAAATTTTAATATTAAAAAAATAAATACTACATTAATTATAAAATTCCAACCTCCTTTCATGAGGATAAAGAAGGAATATTTAAAAAATTTAATATCTTTTTCATTAATAAGACTCCAAAAGGAGAATGACAATTACATTGATATCGATAACAATAAAAATAATTAAAATTTAGTGATGATGCTAGCAATTAGCAAAGACGGATTGTTATCCGTGATGATTTTATGATGTTGTTATTTTTTATTATACTTAATTTTGTTATGCGTATTAATTTAAATTTATTTTTTTAAACTTCATGTTATATAAAATAATTTTTTTAAATTTTTAATATGTATTTTTGTAGATTTTTAAATTGAAAATTAAAAAAAAAAGGGCTAAGGACCAGGGCTAGGTTAACTAAAATAAAACTTTAAAATATAATCAAACTTAATAAAACTAATCCATTTAAACACTGACCTTTTAAAGATTGGTTCTAATTGATAAATCTAATTTTGACCTTAAAAATAAATAAACGTCCTATTAGTTCTATTCTTTCAAAAAGAAATAAATATGGACATAAAAAAATCATGCATGATTTCTTTTCGCAATATTTTAACTACAGCAGTCCAATATCTGCAAATTTATCCTCTATTGGTAACTCTTATAATAAACCTTTAATCAATATTTTTACCAGCTAAGTTGTTAATTAATAATATTAGGGATTTAAATCCTTTAGAGTTAAGATCTATGAATTTCAGAAAAGTTTGTCTCTTAAAGAAAGGAAAACATATTTTATATTTTATAAAAATAATAAAATGATGAAAAATGCTTAAAAAAAACTTTACAAAAATTCACATATCTCAACTTTAAAAGATTTAAATTCTAATATTGGTAGCGTGCCGAAATATTGTAATTTTTTTTTTCTTTAATAGGCGGAAAATATTGTAATTTGTTCATGGTATATAGAAATGAGAATTTACATTGTTAAGTTATATTGTACTTCTCTAATACATAAAATTTATATTGTTATTTTTAATTTGAATAAATGATATTTAATTTTAAATTTTAAAAGTAGATAATTTAAACAACTATTTCCTTAAGAAATTACTAATTAGAATACTGCTATATTACATTTTGTTCTATTCGCAAAAAAATAAAATATCTAAATCAACTACGAAATGAAAATTATCAACAACACACCCTACAAAATATCTTTTTATCACGACAATGACACAATACATGCAATTTGTTGAAAGAATTGTCAAATAAATTATCAAGTCCGTGACTAACTACTCATTTTTGGACAGACTTTAATCGAGCTCTGGATATTAGAATCACTTGCTATTAAGGAGTGAAGTGATACTTTTGCTAACTTCCAAAGCCAACAAAACAGATCAATTTTAAAGTGCACCATCTCTGTCATAGGACTGCTAATACGCGTTAATAGATTTACCCTTTAGGTTTGGTAATGTGCTATTCACTCCACTTGCATAGTGAAACTAACCTGCAAATTAAAACAAATAAAACCAGAGCTACTCTACACAATTGAGTCCGATATATAATGCTGAAATATTACCTAATCAAATAGCTATATTAAAAAACCAAAACCAGTCTAGCTCTGTGGCATATATAAATGGAAAAAATATATTTACTTTAAACTTTTGGGATAATATAATTTTTTTCTCTAAACTTTCTTTTCTTATTGATTTAATTCTTAAATTTTGATTTATTACAACTCAATCCTTATAATTTATTGAATTCAGAAATTATAAAGATTGAGTTGTACCAAATTAAAAAACTATAAATGTGAAATTGTTTTGATTCAAGAAATTAACAAAAAAATTAAACTGTTTTGAATCAAAGTTTAGAAATTGAATTGATAATTAAAAATAAATAAATCAAAGACTCAAAGTTATATTTTCCTTTAAACTTTTCAATCATATTTATGAAAAAATGTGTAAAGAGATAATACATATAAAAATACTGTTGTGTATAAAATTCTTGCCTTGAGATATACTGTACGTATTGCATATTGGTGTTTCCAGAAAAAAAGTCATTAAGTCTTGAAATTAAATGGCCAATGGACTATTCTCTTCTCTTGTCCCTTCCAGATGCCTTTCCCAGTCTTCAATTTTCTAGAAGCCACGGACGAGTAAGCCAAAAGCAGCTCCCAAGTAATGCCAAAGGTAAACCCATTTATGTCCCTTTATATATACTCCAAAACACAAACATTACATATTACTCTCTCACAATTACCCTAATTCCCCTCACCTTTACTTCCTATATAAAACCACCTTTCTTTCTAAACATTCTCTCTCTAATACCAAAAATCTCTCTTCACTATTATTTCCTTTGACTATGGCTTCTTATCCAGATTTCGTCCCTCAAACACCCGAAAGACATGACCAAGACGAAGACGATGATGAAGAAGAAGCACTGTCTCTCTGCGATCTTCCACTGAACCACAATACCCAAAAATGCAACGGTTTAGATTCAGACGACACGTCGTCCAAGCAGATCAGTCGTCGGTCTTCGTTATCATCAGAGGCCGTGGATTTCTTCGAATTCTTCAACGACAACACCAGCTTCGATATGTGCTCTGCCGACGACATCGTTTTCTGCGGGAAGCTCTTCAATGACACCGACCGATCTCCTCCCAAGATCAGCAACAGAAAAGATCCGAGCAGACCGCCGGTATACCGCCGGAGATCAGAGTCTCTGTCCACGTTGCAATCTGGCGTGACCCGATCCAACAGTGCCATCACTTGTGGGAATAATTCTCGCCGGTTCATGATGAGGAACAGCAGGTCCTTGGATTACCGCAGACTTCACCGGTCTTCGAGCTCCATCGTGATGCCGGCGACGGAAATTGAGAGGAATACTTCGGTGAGGAGCGTCGTGCAGTCGGAGATCGTTGTGAAGAAGGCAATGAAGCCGCGGTGGTTCTTCCTGTTTTTTGGGCTCGTCAGGGTACCGTCAGAGATGGAGCTCAGCGACATTAAGAATCGGCAATTTCGCCGAAACCCTTCCACGACAATGTTTCCGACGGCTGATGGCAGTGGGAAGCTGGCGGTGAATCGGAGTTCCGGCAAGGTGTCGTGGAAAATACTGAAGGCATTGAGTTGCAAGGACCATACGAGCGTGTCCGTGACGACGCCGTTTGTGTTGCCGCAGACAACATAGGACTTTAGGTCACGTGACGTGCATGCGTATGGTACAGGAAATTATCGTCATGTGGAAGACATTAAAAAAAAGCTGAACTAGTAGCTTTGTTGGATGGGACAGTTAACACAGAGACCATGATATGCATGGCAGGGGTATTTCGGTAATTGGAGGTATGTGCCTGCTCGACGCTTGAGGCCAGGATAATACAATAATGACTTACGTAGAAGGGAAGGTTGTGTACAGGGGCGAACCATGGAGGATCACAGTCCTCTCCTTTCTCTGTCAGTAAATGAGAGGCTGTATTTATTTATTTGATTTTTTATTTTATTTTTGAATTTGTGGTTTTTTGTTTGTTGGGTGGGTGGCCATGGAAATGAATGACAATCACGGGAAATCCGACAGTGACATAAAGATTTTACAGAGCAGGAACCTAGAAATTTCTTAGGTTTTTTTATTCATGTTTTTATCCCTCGCGGGAGGAGATTTTTTATTTCCCCCACGAGGAACGGGTTTGTTTGTACGAATGTTTTCAGAAAATAAAGTTATAGAAAGACTACATAAAAAAAAAAAAGGTGCATAAGAGGTTTTATTTCTTATAATTAATTTTATATTTTTCCTTTTTTTTTTCAAATAAATGCAACCACCTTTGTAAAGATAAATGATTGGTACTCATCGTTTTACTCTGTGTTGTTGGCATGTTGGAAGGTTATATATTGCGTGGGAATCAGTTTTGCTTCTCCTCTGCTCTGAAGATTACTAAGTACTCCCTCTTTTAAAAATTTTAAAATATTTTTAATTAAATTTTACTTCAATAAAATAATTATTTATTTTTAAATTACTCTTTTTTTATATTTATTTTCATTAAATACTTTATAATAAATATAAAGTCATTATTAATAAAAATATTTTTTTAAAAAAGATAATAGTTACATCATAAAAAATTAAAAATTCTTTATATTTTTAAACATTTAACTGTATAAAAAATATTTTATATTTTTTAATTGAGGGAGTATATGAATTTACATTTTGAGATATATAATTTTTTTTTGGTGAGTTGCATTGGAGCTCAACAGGTTAAAACATACAGATTTTGAAGTTCAAAAAACGCTTGCATACTAACAAATCACGCATCATCATCTCATTCATTCACTTACAATTCATAGTTAATCTTAGTCATACATTAATGTTTTTACTTGTTACATGTAAAGAAGATTCTCAAAGGTAACCGCTCTGCAACTACAACTTTATTTTTGAATACAAGAAAAACTAGCACGTATTTTTTTTATCATTACTTATAAGTAAAATTATAAATTTCAAGAAATATTTATCACATTTTTTTTTTCAAATTATTCCTTATATAGTAAACGTTTAGTTTTATTGATCGATAGATTTGTTTCATTAATTATAAGGATAATTTAGTTCAAATTATTAAATTTCAGACATAATTATTATACTTAACCAATTTTCTTAAATTATATGAATTGATTATTTTCTCTCATATTTAAAAATAGCGAGAGTAGATATTTTTATTTTTTAATTTTAACTTTATGTGCGTAGCCATGAAAGTTTTATTTAACAAACTTGTCATGCAATTATGACTCATAATGCATGGGCTCTTACCATCATTTACTCAATTTCTCTCTAATTAAATCCAAAACCCTCATAATATTATGCCCCCTAAGTTTAATATTATTCCTTCTTAATCATAATATATCACTTTTTTTAAAGTTTTATTTGATCCAAAATATAGGATATTAGATAAATTTTATAATTTTTTTAATTATATCCCTATTTCATTTATTACTTTTTTTTTTCAAATAATGCATGTGAATTTTAATTGTAATTATCAAGGCACTTATGTATGATATTTAATAAAGGTATAATTAAAAAGATGTAATTTTTTTAAAAAATTAAAGTTTTAACTAACATTTTTTAATAACTGTGAATTAGTTAATAATACCTTATATTATGTAGTATAGAAAGAGTACTATAATGCGCCTTTAACTAAATTACACTTTCCAATGAGTTAGTTAAGTGTTTTTAATATGGTGTCTTAATTAAAAAATCTTATTAATTGTACCACTTTATAGGTATTTTTGGAAAAAAAATCTAATTAATTGCACATTTAAAAACCCCAAAAATATTATATTTGTTAACTTCTTACTTTAAAAAATACTTTATATTTTTGAAGGGAGAGCATGAGAGAAAGAAATATGCTTTCGTTGCTTAATATTTCAAATATAGAAAATTAATTTACAAATACTTATAGTTTTAATTAGTTTGGAAGTAGCTGTCTATAATTCATACATGTAGAATTTTTTTACATTGTTGGCCGAAATTATTAAATCAATTTTTATACATATCAAATTTTTCTATAAATCATCTTAAGTGACAAACGTAGGATGAGGCCAATGAAGACATAAAACATATAAAATGTTCAATTCTCTGGATCTCTTCACAAGAAAATTAACTGGATTAAAAAATATAGTTAAGATCAATAAATATATTTGAAATTTAACTTTTTTAAAATGCTTTTATGGATTGTTTGACATGATAGTTTTGTATTATTTAATGATGTTAACTTGATTACACTCCTTTCATTGAGGGTAAAAAATTAATTTTTAAAGAAATCAAAGAAAGAATGTGTATGGTTGTTTCTTATATAAAAAGGTTGAGAATTAATTACTTTTTCCTTGAGTCTTGAGAGCGAACATGTTTACAAACGCGTTCTCGGCTGACACCGCCTCTGTGGTTCTGGTCTCCACGGAGGAAAAAGATACGCTAGATCGAAGTAAGAAAAAAGTTTGAGAAGGTGGTATTTTCTCAGGCGAAACGTCACTATAGTTGCGAAGTGAATGATGGATGAAGGTGAATGCATGGACGAGATTTGAAGGCATTGGAGCTGTATCGTACCGCGACTCACTATTGAAGAGGAAGGAGAGCTTCTCCGATTCATCTCTGGACGACGGTGAAGAGGTAGACATATGTTTTGAGTCAATTCCGAATCCAAGCGAAAGTATTACAGTTGACCGTATGAACTTACTTTGCCCCAACTTCATTCTCGATCTGAAAGAAAGAAAACGACCAGCTAAGCCTTTCCATTTAACACTGATTGTCAAATCGATGGGTAAAACCATAAGTCTGCGATTGTTAAAGCCACGAATTGAGCAATTATAGAGCAAGAAGGGCAGTGTTCAAGTGGTCGATATAGAAGGTGATTTTTTCCTTGTGGAATTTGAAGATGCAAAGTACTATAATACGGCCCTCACTGGAGGTCCTTGGGTGATTCTTGATAGCTATTTGGTGGTGATTCGTTGGAAGCCAAACTTCAACCCGATGGAAGAGGTCATCTCAAAGCTTATTGTCTGCGTACGTATTCCTACTATGTTTATGGATTTATATGATAGGAAATTACTGTATAATGTGGGAAATGAGATTGAAAATATCATTAAAATTGATGAACATATTGCTAGAAAAAAAAGAGGTAGATTTGTTAGGATTTGTGTTGAGGTAGATATCTCGAAGCCTTTACTGCCTCAATTTGCTGTTGATGAGAAAGTATTTCCTATTGAGTATGAATGTATGTCTTTGTTATGTTTATGCTGTGGCACTTATGGTCACTTGAAGGAGGACTGTAAGAGTAAGGGAGAAGTAGGTGAAACTAGTTCGAGGATGAATCTTGGTACCCATAGGGATGCTGTGGTCAATGGGATAGGGTTTAATAGTGGTGACAGGGTAGATGCACTAGATCAACATATGTGGAAGGTTGCACAACATCTTAGAAGGGGGTGAAGAGTTTGAACTTTAAATGATAACTTTATTGGTACTTCAAGATTTTCTTTATTAGCGAAAGAACGAGGGGATAATCCCAGTATTGTTTATATGTCATAAGATAAAAACAATAAGCTGAATCATAGACAGAATATGGGGAGTGTTTTGGAAAGGAAATAAGACAAAAGGGAAACTGGTCAGCACTCCCTAAGGGATATTACAACTGCTAGTTACAACAGAAAAAATCAAGTAGTTAGTTCAGGCAATTTGAAATCGAAAGGAGGTGGTAGTAGTAAAAGAGCTTGTGAATAATGTATGAGAGGCTTGTTTACTAGCTAGGAATAGGGGGAATGTGGGTCAGGAGAAAGTGATTACTACTAGGCAACAGGGTGAGGATTATATTATGACTTCAATTGAAGGAATAGAGGTGGACTTTGGGGTAGATGAGGAAGGAGTAATTTCTAGAGGTTGTACAGGATGTGAAAACCAAGTTGAGCAATATGAACTTGATGGTGAGGGAGAGGATGATGTTCGATGGACCCGTATAGAGGATGATAAGCAGGATGATATAGTGTTGAAGGTAATACATGAAGGAGGCTATGTGTCTATTAAGATACAAACCTAATGGCTATTATTTTTTCTTCATGAAAATCATTTTTTGGAATTATAGAGGTGCTTCTAACTCCCACTTTGGTAGAGCATGTAAAACTTTGTTGAGGTTGCATAACCCAACAATGGTTGCTTTAGTTGAACTGCGAGTCAGTGGTCTTAGAGTTGATTGTGTTATTAGTAATTTAAGTTTTAAATTCTCGATTAGAGTAAAAACAAGAGGGTTTGTTGGGGGCATTTGGTTATGCTGGAAGAATGGAGAGTTGCACATTGATATCTTGGTAAGAGATGCACAGTTTCTTCATGTTAAAGTGGAGAAGGAGACCTGTAGTTGGTTGTGTACTATTGTATATGCCAATCTACAAGGTGCTACACGAGATGCCTTATGGAATAGACTTAGAGATATAGCTAGAAGTATTGATGAGGCATGGTTAGTTGGGGGTGATTTTAATGAGATTGCCTCACCTCTTGAATAAAAAGGAGGTGCTGATTCGAGCATCCAGAGATGCAATGCCTTTCGTGCTTGGATTGAGGATTGTATGTTGATTGATATTGAGGCCGAGGGGCCTCTTTATACTTGGAGGGGGCTAAAGTAGAATGGAGAGATAGAGTATATAAGAGATTAGACAGGTGTTTATGCAATACCATATAGCAGTAAACATTTCTTAATGCGTTTGCTCAAGTCTTGGCTCGAGTTGAATCAGACCATCATCCTCTTTGTTTTGATCTGCATGGCCATATTCCTCCAAGAAATACTCAAGCTTTTTAGTTTGAAGCCATATGGTTGAGTCACCAAGCTTTAAGGATTTTTTGTGTGAAAACTAGTGTCAGGATGTAGAGGCTCATGTGGCTCTAACTTGTCTTAAAAAACCATTAAGGAAGTGGAATCAGGAGGTCTTTAATTGTCTTGAGAGGCGGAAGAAGAAGCTGCTGGCAAGAATTGTCGGAATTCAACGGAAGTTGAATGGTACTTCCAACTCATTTCTAGAAGACCTTGAGGCTAAACTGAATGATGAATTATGACAATTGCTTTACCAAGAGGAAATTCATTGGTACCAGAAGGCTAGGGGGAATAGATAAGAAGTGGGGACCGTAACACTAAGTTTTATCATCTAAAGGTTATTAGTAGAAGACGAAGAAATAAAATTCACATGTTAAGAAATGATAATGGTATATGGGTTGAGAATGAAGTTGAATTAATACGGATGGTGAAAACTTTCTATTTTAATTTGTTTTATGAGGAAGTTACTGCTAGACAATGGATCAATACACAACATAAATGGGGACAAGTTGATGCTACTAAACTCCATAAGTTGGGTAAATCTATTAGTCCAGAGGACATTTATCAGGCTATCTTTAGTATTGGACCTTTTAAAGCTCTTGGCAAGGATGGCTTCTCGATAATTTTCTTTCATAAAAATTAGGATGTAGTAGGATGTACTGTTATAGATTTGATTATGCACATATGGAATAATCCGCACCGCTTGACTAAAATTAATCAAACTTTGATTACATTGGTACTAAAGTTGGATAAAGTTGAGGTGGTTAGTCATCTTCGGCCTATCTCTCTTTGTAAGTCATTTATAAAGGGCTTTCAAAGATTCTTGTCAGTTATTTAAATCCGTTGATGAATAAGTGGTATCTCCTTTTCAAGCTAGTTTTATTCCGGGAAGATGCATCCAGGAGAATATTGTTATAACGAGAGAGATTTCTCATTCTATGAGGAGAATGGCAAGGGATAAAGGCATTATGGCTATTAAAATTGACCTTGACAAGGCTATGATCGTATAAATTAGAGTTTCTTGTGACATGTCTTGGAGGAACTGGGTTTGCTAAGGGAGATTGTAGAGATTATTGCCAATTGTTTTGAAAGTATTTCTATGACGTTACTTTGGAATCGTGTAAAGTCAAATAGTTTTAAACCTTCTAGAAGATTAAGGCAAGGGAACCCTTTATCTCTATATTTATTTGTTTTGAGCATGGAGAAATTATCTCATATGATTGTTGATGAAATTAAGGTAGGTGTATGGACACCTATAAAGTTAGGGAGGCATGGGACTCTAATATGACATTTGCTTTTTGTTGATAATTTATTATTGTTTTGTGAGATGGAGGTGGAGCAATTAGAGGTTGTGCTATAATGTTTGCAAAAGTTTGGTGCCATCTCTAGTCAAAAAATAAATCCACAAAAGATAGTTGTGGCATTTTTGAAAGATGTTTCACAGGCAAAATGTGAGGAATTGGTACGCTGTTGTGGTTTTCAACCAGTTCTAGAGTTAGGCCATTACTTAGGCTCTTATATAACTCACGGTCAAAGAACTAGAGGTCAATATCAATTTTTATTGGATAAGGTACAAAAGAAACTGAGTAGGTGGAAGGCACAAAGTCTGTCTTTTACTGGGTGGCTAACATTAGTTTAATCAATTATACAACAGGTTCCTGTTTTTACTATGTAACATGATATTTTACCTGTAGGAGTCTGTCAAGAATTGGAACAGATGCAACGAGACTTTATTTGGGGGTCCATTCATAACAGGCGGAGGGTCCTTCTAATAGGATGGGAAACTATATGTTGATCGAAAGCATTGGGAGGCTTTAGTTTATGAAATTTAAGAGTAATGAATGAGGCCCTATTAAGTTAGATTGGATGGATGATGCTTGTATCCCCACAGAAATTAAGTTCTCAATTTCTAATAAGTAAATATGGGAGAAGAGAGCTATTGGATCAATAATGCATTGTTAAACATACCGATTCTATTTTATGGAAGAAATCAGGTGAGCTTTGGCCGTGTATACTATGGCACGTTGGATGGGAGGTAAATAATGGGAGCAAAGTGAACTTCTGGGTTGATAGGTGGGTGGCTAATAGTACATCTTTAGTTGACCAATGCTTGGTGGTTCCTGCACCTTCTGGATTATGAAAGTGTGTAAGGGTTTATGTCAATGAGAGGGGTGGTTAGAGATTAGAGGAGTTAAAGGTTTGGTTACCTGAGGATATAGTGGGCCAGATTAAAGCTACGCTGCCTCTTTGTGTGTCTATGGGGGAAGACAGAATTCATTGGTTAGGTAGTGGTTCTGATAATTTTAGTATTGCTATAATGTACAAGCATCTAAGTGGTTTTGATCGACAAGATGGAAACAGTATTTGTACAAAAATTTGGTCTTAGAAGGGTTCGAGACGTATCCAAACGTTCTTATGGTTGGTTGCTTCAAATAGATTACCAACATTTGCTCGAAGGTTTAACGATATTGTTGGGTCGTCTGTTTGTTTCAGGTGTGGATTGGTTGAGGAGTCCTGCTTGCATGCATTGAGGGATTGTTCTTATGCACATAGTGTGTGGGAGTAGCTAATACGAGATATGCATTTTTTTATTTTTTATTTAAATTTGTATAAATGGTTTCAAAAGAATTTCAATAGTAGTTCAATAAGGAAAACGTGTAATTGGCATTTGATATTTGGGGTGGCTGTATGGTTTATGTGGTCTTGGATGAATAAAATGATGTTTGATCCTAACTTTGATTCCTCCAAGATTTCTGTTATGAGTATTATGCAATATGTTGAGGGGATTAAGAAAGCTTATGATATGGATGACAATATTTGTCTCAAGCATTAGGACGATATTCAGTGGTGGCCACCTCAAGAGGGCTGGTTAAAGCTCAATATTAAAAGTGTTACTAAGGGGTGGCTTGGGGATGCTGATTGTGGAGGAGTCATACGGGATTTTACTGGTGACTGGAAAGGGGGTTTTGTTAATAGAGTGGGTAGGTGTACAGCTTTGGAGGTGGAATTATGGGGCTTATGGTCTGGGTTCCTCTTGTTAAAAAGCTTGGATCTAAAGAAGGTTATCATTGAATCTGACTTTACTACACTTGAACATATGCTGAAACAAATGTTGTCATGTTCTTGTGTGAAGAATCAATTCCTTCGTCAAATCCAAACTATGATTGATGCTAGTTGGCATATCTGTGTGACACATACTTATTGGGAAGGGAATTTTAGTGTGGATTGGTTGGCTAATTGGAGCCTCTCATAGGAATGTGGACTATAGGTTTTGAGTGAGCCTCCTGAAGGCTTACTTGATGTACTGTATAGGGATAGACTGGGCTTGACTTGCCCACGATTAATTTCAGTTTAATTTTGTTTTGGCTTTACCCCTCTATTTACCAAAAAAAAAGGTTGAGAAGGAGAGTAATAGATTTCAAATTATAGATATAATGAGAGTAAAATTTCAAAAGTTATAATATCTACTCCCTCTGTTAAAAATGTAAGGTATTTTTTGAAAAGTTGAATGTTAAAAAATATAAAACATTTTTAATCTTTCGAGGTATAATCATTATCTTTTTTTTTAAGTGTCCCTATTGATGAATGACTTTATATTTATTGTAGAGTATTTAATAGAGTAGATATAAAAATATAAGATTAATTTGAAAATAGGTAACTACTTTATTAAGGGGTGAAATTCGATTAAAAATACCGTAAATTTTTTAACGGAGGAAGTACTTGCAAATTTTCTCTTTGAACCAGAAATTTGAGAGTACCAGATTTCAAATTATAGATATAATGAGAGTAAAATTTCAAAAGTTATAATAACTACTCCCTCCATTCAAAAATGTAAAGTATTTTTCGAGAAGTTGGATGTTAAAAAATATAAAACATTTTTAATCTTTCGAGGTATAATCATTATCTTTTTTTAAAAGTGTCTCTATTAATGAATGACTTTATAATTATTGTAGAGTATTTAATAGAGTAAATATAAAAATATATGGTTAATTTGAAAATAAGTAACTACTTTATTGAGAGGTGAAATTTAATTAAAAATACCTTATATTTTTTAACGGAGGAAGTACTTGCAAATTTTCTTTTTAAACTAGACATTTGCTAACCCTAAGCTCTACAAGCCCGAGCGATTGCAATTCTATATTTCTATCATGACTATATCAAGAAGAAAAATGACCTCCACGTAATTTTTGCATCTTATTGCTACAAGTGTGTATTACAAAAGATTAACATTTGATACCCAATTCCATAATATCAGTTTTTATTACTTTTTTCTTCCACCCGGTAGCAGTTGCTTTGGGACCTCATGTCAAGTTGAGAAAATTTTAATAAGATTTAAATTAAAGCGGATTGAGGTGGGTCGAGATTCTTTCTAGTAGAAATTCTGCCACCAACACTTCCCAAAATTTAAACTCATGACTTCTAATTAAGTCGGTATAATTCATTTACCAATTGAACCAAACATTTAGAGGTAAGTATCAGTTTGTAGATTTTGATGGAAGGGGCAGCGTATTTTTTTTATCACTATATTACTTATTAATACTATTCTCATCATCAGACTTGTCCAATGCTGTCGTATATCATGAGTATCATGGACCTATAAATATTTTATTAAAAAAAAGAGAGAGATGATCCGTCAGACCATCACATTGTTAAATAGTTAAATTGAAATACCATTCTACAAAAATGTATTAATTTTATTGACGTAAAATATATATACAAATTAAGAAAGGACAAGACTTATATATTTAACCTCATATATTTTATATGCTTTTATTCAATGAAATCAACACAAGTGAATTTTAACGTATTAATAATATTAATAACAAGAAATTGTTATAATAAATAATCTATAAAAGATTTGCATATTTTTTATTTAATTGAAAACAAGTATTTTAAGTATATAAGTTTTTTAATTAAAAATTGACATTTTAATTTTACTATCTAATCATCATTAATTTACATTTAATTTTAAAAAGGCTTGAATGTATAGTTTAATACACCGAAATATTGTTCTATTTAATTACTATAATTTAATAGTTGATTTACTAAAAACTCAAAAAAAAAAGAAAATATTTATACACAGACAAATATAAATCACAAGTTTTGAAATAGGGCAGCTTCTTCATACACATGATGTTAGAATTTTTTTTTTTTTTAGAAGTTCATCTCTATTTATGTTATAAATCAATTGATTATTGCAAAGTCCCATTTAAGAAGGGACATATGGAAATTCTAGAAACAAGCATCAATTATTAATAATTTATATATATATATATATATATAGTGTATATATAAATATATTTACAAGGAATATTAATATTCTTCTCTCGAAATGATACAATCTTGAAGGTCAAAAGAAATGATATAATCTCTTCTTAAACGCTGCCCAGTCATATCCCTTGGAATATTTCAATATGATAACGATAAAAAGGATTATTAATTTGGTTAGTTAATTAGGAATAGTAATAAGGTTACGCTTAGAAGTTGGAAAGTGTCAAGTAGTGAGGTGGGAATCTATGGAAGCATGCAGAGAAAATTTGCAAGTTTTTGTTTGGATACATTTATTAGCTATTGCTTTCAAATAATAAACATAATTTAATATGGAATTGGTTTACCAGCAACAATAATTTTGAAAAGTTTGATTATTTTTAATTTATTTATTTTGTGAGGAAAAGAGACGTAGGTGGCTATAAATAAATAAGAAAATGAAAGGAGCAATAAATGATGGAGGAAGAATGAGGTGAGTTAGAGAGTTGCGTGTTCCAACAAAACGTGAGAATCTCTAATTCCTGAATTGCCAAGTTGCAACCCGCTCTTCCATTATTTCCTCATTTTCGTCACTCACACACACATGCCTCCGTCTATGTTTTTAGTTACTCACCTTACTAAATCTAAGTTGTTGTTTTTTTTTTTTTTCGAGGTTAATATTTTTTTTCAAATTTAACCGAGGTGTTCATATATGACACAGCACTTACAGTCTCACCTTCTTTTAACTTCATTGAAAAGATTATGGAGTTGTCATGAAAAATTAGATTAATTGTAATATTTCATCACGTTTTCAGAAAAATTAATGTATATTCTTTTGATCCTATTTATAAGGTAGAAAGAAAATAAAAAATTTAATTCTATTTATAAGGTATTTATCAATTCTCAATGTTATTTACATTTTTACTTTTATTAAATGCCTTGAATAAAAATATCACTAATAATATTTAAGAACATTTATTAGGAATGAAAATAAAAATTTGAATGACCCGTCATTTGGGTGTAGAGATGTCTTATCAAATAATTTGATTTTGATTTTATTTTTTTCACTTGGTTTTACCTGTGTCTTTATAATAAAAAATGGATTAAAGGGTAAATTTGTGTCAAAAGTTTTTCATTAGGTATCTTTAACTTTTAATTAATGCAATATTATCTTAAAAGTTTGCAAAATGATGCAATGTTGCTTTATGATAACGATTAACTAATGTTGATAATTGAAAAAATTTGATTACGTTAAAAAACAATTTGTCCTAAAAGTTTTTTTAAAGGAATATATGTGATCCTAAATTTTTATTGATATTCAAATCATAAGAAAAATTTAACAACATTATTAATATTAAGGTTTGTATTTCTAGTTTTTTATAAGAGTCTCTATGTGAGATTATTTGGATTAAAAACCAGCTCTATATACAAGAACTCTACAAACCTTTCCTTGAACAAAGCCCTGACTTGCTCTTATTTCACTTATAAGCATGTCCAAATTAGTGTTCATGAGTATGTCTTGGCTTGCTTAACCATGAGCAAATATATTTGTTTAAACTTTTCCATGAACAACATAGACGAGCCTATCTTTTGACAAAAAAAGTATTTAGCAAATTTCAGCTCAAAATCTTCTTATAATTTTGAGTTATAATGAGTTGTTGGATCCTTTTTCTGATTTGAAATTTGATAATTCAAAAATATTATACTAGTTAAACGTTTTGAATACAAATTGTTTCTTTAAACTGACACAAAATTGCTTTTTAAGCTAGTTAAAATTATTCAACTAACAATCAATGCTTGTCAAATGTTAGTATAAGATAACATTGTACTATTTTAAAAACCTCTGAGATAAAATTGCACCAATCAAAAGTAGAATATCAGTTGCAACTGACAAAAAAAAGTTAGGATAAATTTGCTCTTTATTAATCCATAAAAAATATAAGTTTTTTTAAAGATATTAAATCAATCTTAATATTGATTTTTTCCTCACCATTAATTGATTCCATAATTTGTGCAAAAAAAAAATTGATCCCATCAATTTAAAAATTAAATTCTCTTTTTACACTCTTTTAAAAAAAATTTAAGATAAGCATTAAATACCTCAAAAACTTACCAAGAGTGACTTATATTTAAAATTTTAAATTCGTTCCCAAACATGACCTGCATTAAACAATAAAGATAGGAGAAAGTACATTTAATATTAAATTCACTGAAAAGTACTGGACCACATACCAGGTCGATGCAGTTAAGAAAAATAAATTACAGAATTTATTATTCATCTAAGAATAATACATTTTATGCAACTTTTTTTTATATAGATTAGAAAGATTTTAATCTTTGACCTTTTTTCACATTTCACTCCACTCACATCTATATTATTTGTTTGAGGAAATTTGTATAAACTTTGAAAAAAATACAAAGATTTACATAATTTAAAGAAAAATGATTTGTAATAATTTTAAGGTATAAAAGATAATTGTATAATG